CCCACAACCGGACCAAAAAAAAGGTGGCTCAGTGGTAGAAGTGCTTGCCTTGCATGCCTGAGGCCCTGGGTTCGATTCCTCAGCACCACATAAGCAAAAACGAAAAAAGCCGGAAAGTGGCGCTGTGGCTTACAGTGGTAAAGCGCTAGCCTTGAGCTGAAGAGCTGAGGGACAGTGCCCAGGCCCAGAGTTCAGGCCCCATGACCGGACCCAAAAAAAAAAAAAAAACAGACCTGTCATTGATAATGATGCAATATAATCAGCTCATCCCAACTTTTGCCTTTTTTGTATCCTCTTGTCATTTCTTACCAACTTTAAGAAACTGTAAAAACACTGTTTATTACCTGTGAATGTTTTAATTTACAAGTTAAATTAAAGCTTGCACTTGCAATTAACATTTACTATTTTGCCCTTTATTATGTTTCTTGATTGTAGAAACTTACAAAATACATCATAAAAAAGAAAAAAACTTGGACTCACCTTTAATCTCACCATACAAAAATATATTTAGGTATAAAATCTCTTAGACTTTAGGTCTAAAATGAAAACCTAAAATACCTTTAATCAAGAGGTTTTTTTGTCATTAAAATTCTTTAAAAAAAACATAAATATCTTTGACTAGTTGCTGAAAATGGTTAAATAGAACCTGAGAACATTTAGTTCAAAGATTTATTGTGTGTATACTATGTACCAGACAGCATGCTAAGCATTGCAGATTAGAAAATAAATGAAACATGCCCTCAGCTTTCAAACTGTTTATCAGGCAGTGGGAGAGAGAATCATAATACACTATGGTAGAGACATGTACAGGCTGTTACGGTGCACTTAGGCAGTGGGGCGGGAAGGGGCCAGGTAGAGGGAGGGAGATGAGAAAGAAAAGAGGAAGTTCTTGTGTGATTGTGACTAAAACTTTATTGCATGTTGAAAAGGAATAAGAGGTCCACTCCACCAGGGCTTGAAAACAAATAGAAATACAAATAAATAAACAAAGGTCATTATTTATTATATACCTTACACCCCAAGTTCCTCATTTCCATTTTGTTAGATTGGCATTGTGTCTTTTATTGTTTTTAAATTTTCCTTCTCACATACTGCAGTACAGAGTTGGGTCTGCCATAAATTACTTCAAATATTAAAATTAACTAAAAGTGTTCATACACTTATTTTTTTTTTTTTTTGTCGGTCGTGGGGCTTGAACTCTGGGCCTGGGCGCTGTCCCTCAGCTCTTCAGCTCAAGGCGAGCGCTCTACCACTTGAGCTACAGTGCCACTTCCGGTTTTCTGGTGGTTTATTGGAGATAGGAGTCTCACGGTCTCTCCTGCCCGGGCTGGCTTTGAACAGCGATCCTCAGATCTCAGCCTCCTGAGTAGCTAGGATTACAGGCGTGAGCCACCAGCGCCTGGCGTGTTCATACATTTATAAGGAGAGAGTTCATATTGTATTCTTAGCTAAGCAGTACAGCACCTATACATCTAGATAAAGGAGCATTTGAAATTGATGGATCACCTTGAGTCACTATCTCCTATGCTGAAACTTTTACTTTTGTGGTCTAAAATAAGCCAGAACAGTCTTAACCTCATCCAGGTTTTACAGAACACTTCTTTTTCAAGTTTAGATTATAGTTTAGGTTCCTCTCTTTAAAGAACTGGAATCATTAATAACCATTATTCCTGAATGTCCTTGTTTGTTTTAATACTATTCCTCTGTCAGAATTATAAATTGGGAAAATACAGAAAAGCTTAGTCTGATGATGAGTTTATCATTTAACCTCTCGTTGCCTTGTCTTTGACAGGATGCTACAGATGAATTGGATGCCTTACTCCTGTCTCTAACTGAGAATCTAATTGACCCCACAGTCACACCTCAGGTAAATATATATTACAACTGCAAGATGTAAAGGAATTTCTGCTTAGGAAATAATTCCTGCCTTACTCCAATTTTTGCCATTTGGAAAATTAGAAAAAACTTTTATTTGAGTTTGTATTTCAATGATCACAATGTTACTTGTCTATACTAAAATTCTTCCACCTTGAATTTGCATATCATGTAGAAATCACAGTACCAGGCTGGGTGCTTGTGGCTCACAAATGTAATCCTAGCTACTCAGGAGGCTGAGATCTGAGGATTGTGTTCAAAGCCAGCCAGGGCAGGAAAGTCCATAAGAAATATAATGCTTTTCTCATTCAAGGCTGTATCTCCTGTTAAGTTATGTGGTTATAGTTCTATCCTTAATGTAACTTCTCTACTTTTCTAGCTTTATTTCTAATTCCTTCAGACTTTTTTTTTGGGGGGGTCCGGTCGTGGGGCCTGAACTCTGGGCCTGGGCACTGTCCCTCAGCTCTTCAGCTCAAGGCTAGCGTTCTACCACTTGAGCCACAGCACCACTTCCGGCTTTTTTCTTTTTTGCTTATGTGGTGCTGAGGAATCAAATCCAGGGCCTCATGCATGCAAGGCAAGCACTCTACCACTGAGCCACCTTCCCAGCCCTCCTTCAGACATTTTTTATGCTGTTATTAATGGGATTTTTTTCCATTATATTTTTAACTAGCTTTTAATAAGTTAGTATGACTGGGCACCAATAGCTCACACTTGTCATCCTAGCTTCTCCGGAGGCTGAGTTGTAAGGATAATAGTTCAAAACTAGCCTGGGCAGGAAAGACTTCAAGAGACTCTGACCTCCAATTAACCACCAAAAAGCTAGAAGTGGAGGTGTGGCTCAAGTGGTAGAACAATAACCTTGAACAAAAAAGCTAAGGGAAACACTGAATTCAAGGCCAGGTATTGGTACCAAGAAAAGAAAAGGTCAACAAAACTTTTCATCAATTAAACCAGTGAAGCTATTTTAAAAAGCTACTTAGAAGCCAGGGGCCAGGGGCCGGCTGGTAACTCACACCCATAATCCTAGCCACTTAAGAGGCCAAGATCTGAGGATCACAGTTCAAAGCCAGCCTGCACAGGAAAAGTCCATGAGACTCTGACCTTCAATTAACCACCAGAAAACTGGAAGTGGTGCTGTGGCTCAAGTGGTAGTGTTTATCTTGATGTAAAGAGCTCAGGGACAATACCTAGGCCCAGAATTCAAGCCCCACAACTGACCACAAAAAAAAAAAAATTACAACTTAGGATAGTGCCCAGGCCCTGAGTTCAAGCCCCACAACTGAAGAAAAAACAGTAGTAGTTTATTGAGTTGCACTCTCTTAGATATGATAAAATTATGATAGTTTAAGTTGCATGGTGTTATGTCCATGTTGTAGAAGAATCTTTGACTCAGAAGTCTATGTCAGTTCAAGGAGGCTCATTAAAAATTGTGGTCCTTGTATGCATTTCATAATAAAAGAAAGTATAGTATTGGGGCTGGGAATGTAGCCTAGTGGTAGTGTTCTTGCCCAGCATGACTGAAGTTGTGGATTCCATTCCTTAGTACCACATACAAAGGAAAGGCCAGAATTGGCGCTGTGGCTCAAGTGGTAGAGTGCTAGTCTTGAGCAAAAGAAACTCAGGGAATGTGCCCAGGCCCTAAGTTCAAGCCCCAAGACTGGGGAAGCCGGGGGGGGGAGGGCGGGGGAAGAAAATACCATAAGTGTGATTATGAAAATAAGCAAGTTCACCTCCAAAACTAAATATCATGTGAATTTATTTTAGGTGTCCTCAGCATCCATGATCACACCCCGTTGGATTATTCCAGTAAGTTTATAAGAGTTGACACTTTACTTCTAGTTGCACTTTTAAAGTGAGGCCTGGAGTTGGGAAGGTGGCTCAGTGGTAGAGCGCTTGCCTTGCATGCATGAGGCCCTGGGTTCGATTCCTCAGCACCACATAAGTAAAAAGAAAAAAGCCGGAAGTGGCCCTGTGGCTCAAGTAGGAGCACTAGCCTTGAGCTGAAATGCTGAGGGACAGCACCCAGGCCCAGAGTTCAGGCCCCACAACCGGACCCCCCAAAAAACTAAAATAAAATAGAGTCCTGTGGGGTTACCAGGTTCATGGTGGTTGGTTTTTTGTTGTTGTTGTTGTTTTTATAAACATGGTAGGCATTATCAAAGCTCAGTTAATTGAATTTAATGACTCTTGAGATTTGCAGCTTAATCATTCTGTTTGTAAATGCTAATGTATACAGCCAAAATAAAAAATCTGAAGTGAAATAGTTTTATAAAAATGAAATAAAGGGGCTGGGAAGGTGGTTCAGTGGTAGGTGCTTGCCTTGCATGCATAAGGCCCTGGGTTCAATTCCTCACTATCATATAAGCAGAAAAAGCTGGAAGTGGCGCTGTGCCTCAAGTGGTAGAGTGCTAGCCTTGAGCTGAAGAACTGAGGGACAGTGTCCAGGCCCAGAGTTCAGGCCCCAGGATCAGCAATAAATAAATAAACAAACAAATAAGCAAGAAAGCTAGCAAGCAAGCAAGCTGGGGGCTGGTGGTTTATATCTGTAATCCTGGCTACTCAAGAGGCCAAGATCTGAGGATCACAGTTCAAAGCCAGCCTGGGCAGGAAAGTCTGTGAGACTCTTATCTCCAATAACTACCAGAAAACCAGAAGTAGTGTTGCGGCTTAAGTGGTAGAGCACTCACCTTGAGCTGAAGAGCTGAGGGACAGCACCCAGGCTGAGTTTAAGCCCCACGACTTAATTAAAATAAAAGAAAACCTTGCCAGGTACTAATGGCTCATGCTAGCTACTCAGAAGGCTGAGATCTGAGGATCTTGGTTCGAAGCCAGCCCAAATAGGGAATCATGCCACTCTTAACTCCAGTTAACCACCAAAAAGCCAGAAATGGAGCTGTGACTCATGTGGTGTAGCACTAACCTTGAACAAGAACGCTCAGGGACAGCATCCAGGTCTGAGTTTAACCTCCATGACCCAACACAAACAATAAAATAAAACCAGCATGAACATCACATTCATTTCTATAGTCATTAATGAAGCTGTTGGGAAGTTCTAGAAGGGAAGCATAGCTATGTGTATACCTTGACTGAAGACCACCCTTCCTCTATCAAGAAAGGTTGTCCTCTTTAACCATACTTGCAGCTTCAGGAGGGATGCATGTGGAGGGAGGTAGGGCCGATCACCATATCAACCCTGGTAACCAATGGGGTGACAGATGTTGCAGCCAGATCACCCTCACATCCTCATTATGGAGCTGGTTTGGAAAGACTGAGTATGTATTAATACCTCTGTGATCAGATGTGTTGTATATCTTTCATAGCAGAGCAGTGCCTTTTCAAATGGGCTTACAGGATGTGGATCATCTTTGGAAGGGACAGAGGGACATGGTAATAAAGACAGAATCTCCATGATCTCTACCCCAGCACCATTCTTGGTAGACGCTGTAACCAGGTAAGAACTTACTCTCAGTTGCCATTTCCAAGTATCTGTTGGAAGGAAAATAATAAATAAAATTGACTGCATTTACAATAACAGTGTCAGTTCTTGTAAGTTCCTAATTGAATTTAAATGGGTTAAATCATTTCTCGCTATAATTTTTACAATTTATTATAGTTTCTTTAGGAAGCCTTTGCTAAATAAAAATATTAGCAAGTTTATGTTGAATGTTTATATATATATATATTTTGGGGGGGGGGG